GAGGCTTATTTTATCAGACACTAATTGCAAGAGGGAAAGCTTCAGACATAGCAGGTACGTTTTCACCCCTCCCTGGGGGCGTCTTCGTTGGCCAGTGACCCCCAGGGAGAGCACTGGCGTGCCTGTGGGGGGTTTGGTATCGGCTACCGGCTACCAACTGCAACGGCTCTGGCACTAAAGCTGCATTTCCCAAGAACCGCTCGTAGCGATCCCCTGCTGCTCTTTGTTTATTTTAACGAAGCATCAGATTTCGAAGATAACCCTCGTTACAACTCAGAGTCCTTAGGAACAGGATTTCCACACACACACACACACACTCCGCGACACGGGTTCCGGAACCCCATCTGTTCCCGAGTCCTGGGTCCTGAATTGCCCCATTCGGTTCCGGAATTTAGTTCCAAAATTGGGCATCACCCGTGCGATTCTCATGCGGAGGTAGCGCTGTGCCGGAGCCAGGCCGGTGTATCGATCTGCAATTGTGTGAAATTAGGCAGCCCGCGCTCGCAAATATTCACATCTCGGGAAGGATGACAGCACCAAGTTCAAGGCCAGCTGTCCGTGTTTAAGCATATCTGACATTGTCTGCCATGTGCCAATGCTTTGCAAGAGCACTAGCGCCTGTTTATGCTGTGGCTTGGCAGGACATTCCTCAAAGAGCTGGGCCGCTGATCGGCTGGCAACAGGGCAGCTGGACCTGCCGCAGCTACCAACTCGTGTGTCGTTTAGCAGCTCTCAGACCGAGTTTTCGCTTTGGCCAAGCTGTTCAGCGTAACGTAGTGGAAATTCTCGCATGACGTAAAGCAGAGAGAAATGGTCACGTGTTTCATTAACCAACGAAAGCATGGGCCATTCATTGCATGCTTTCTCTCAGTTTTGGATACGGTAATGAAGTAAAGCACGTGTGTTACATTGACTATGTTCACTTCATGAACGAACTGTGTGAGTGGAACGAAAGACCAGCTAAATGATTAACGGCGCACAAAGAAAATAAGAAGTGGAAGCGTGATTTCGTTCATACTTAATCAATGCTCTTGTGAGCAGGATCAAAAAAGAGATAAATGAAGCGTGCGTGCTGTTTTGCTTCGCTTCTTTCACTTACATCACATCTTCATGTCACGAAAGCTCCTCGTGAGGGAGCTTCGTTCATTGCCTCACAGAGTGAGCTTGGGGGTTATCGGGGGGGTGCGGGGGGGCTGGGGTATCCACCTTCCTTTTGGGTAAGTGGCTTTTTGGACGTCCAAAGGAAAAACAGGCGTCCTCTGATGCTGCTGATGCTGGCCTGGACGTGTCCTCTGATGCTGCTGATGCTGGCCTTGGCGTGTCGGCTTCACATGTCGCAACATGACTGTCTGTCTTTGTCTGGCAAGGAGTTCATATGTTGGATCAAAACCTCTCTTCGTGACATGTTGGATCAAAATTGCTCCCGCCAGTGTTGTTCTATGCGCGGCGTCTCCTGCAATCAAAACCGCTCTTCGTGACATGTTGAATCAAAATTGCTCCCGCCAGTGTTGATATCCGCATCTTTTTGTCTGCTGCGATGCGGGCTGCCGCTTCAGCAACCGAAATTCACTTCTGTGTCTCTTCGTGTGAGCTCCGTGTCGCCAGCCCAGCCCATGCTAGAGCTTTCGTCCCAGCCTGTGGCTCTCAAGTTTTTTTTGGAAGTTTCCGAGACGGCCGAGCACTTAACTTAGTTCTTGGCGAACAGGACCAAATAGATACAGCAAAGAGAATAGATGGTAAATAATGCACGCATGTCGTTGGTTTGCTGGTATTCGTTCAAGCTTTGTCTAAATAGCAAAACTAACTAATAATGCAAAGCGTGCCTTCTCTTCTTCGCATTGTATTTGCTGACATGTGCTTTGTAGGATGCGCCTGGGTCACAAGTCTGGTTATGTGCGCATCGACCGCGGAGGCGGATCGGTATGTGTCCTGTGACATGAGATCTCACGAATCTCACGACTGAGATCACGTCGTGTCCTTGCCACTCTGAGATCCTGCTCTGACGCCACCGATCCTTGTGTCGGGTGTTATTGTGCGGGCCTTCACGGCAGAGTGGCGTTGCAATTTGCGGTAGTGCCCTGTATGCCACTAGGCTACCAGATAGTTCGTCGACGAAGCTTCCTCCCATTTTGGCCCGGCTTGCCTGACAGGTGTCGCGCAGCTTCAAGAATTGCCAGAGAGGTGTGGGCACAGCTTTGCTGACAGCAACCCTGCTTTGGGTCAGCGGCCGAACGAGATGTGCAGGACGGCTTGGCTTCTCACATCCGGCGACTCAGTGGGGCTTGGTGCGCCTCAAAAAAGAGAGCGAGAGAGAGAGAGAGAGAGAGACAGGAAAAGGTGTAGGGGGAAACCCCTGCACCACAGCCCTCGCGAAAGAAAGACAGGAAAAGGTCCGCTCAGTCCGAGTCAATACGTGGGGCGAACTGAACAAAGGTAGGCTCCCACAAGCAAGAGAGCTTGACTGAGAGGGGGAGGGAGAGGGAGAGCGAGAGGGAGAGGGACACTGTTGCGACCTCGGTTCAGGCTTGAGTCTTGGGCTAGTCCGAGGTACCCTCGCGGCTCCCTTGGATGCTGCTGCAGATGTGGAGCAGGGGACACAGATCCGTCGTGACTCGCCGCATTGGAAGCAAGTCCAAGTCGGCTCCAGAAAGAGTTTGACCTTCACCAAGAGTTCAGGTGTTCCCGGCCGCGGGCTCTCCCTCTTCGCGACGAAAGACTTCGACCAGGGTCGCTTTTCATGACTCAAGTTTCTGTCATACTGTAGACCTTTTTCCCCGCCACACCATGCTCCGCCATGGGCTGAGGAGTGGCTGTGCTCGAGGACCGGCCTTTCTTCCGGCGCCCAAGCTTTGGGCAGCTCAAGAAGCACCGCGGCCTGGATGGCCTAGACGGCCTAGTTTTGCCGTTTTCGTCCCTCCTTCAGACTCCGAGCCGCTCCAGGAGTTTTGCGACAGCAGGTGCCTGTGAATGCATCTCAGGTACCATAAACTGTTCTCGAAGACTTTCCAGAAGCAATATGCGACTTGGCTGCTGGTAGACAAGTGCTTAGCTGTTGGGTGAGAGTTTGTTTTCAGGAGAAGATCAAGGCGCCCTTGATGCTTCCGGGCAACTCTGGAACGCTTCAGAGCTTTGTCTTCGCCTCCCCTTCTATGCTTCTAGTCATAGTTTGTCGGACTCAGTTTGCAGGGCAGATGGACTTCCGGGGAGTGTGAGGGCAATTTCCGGCTCCAGAGCTGTGGTTCTGGGTTGGAGAGCTTCCGGTCTGTGGACGTGGGTGTAGGAGCGGCAAGCATTTGCGGCCACGCTGCCGGAAGTTGGAGTCTCACAGTCGGGATTGAGTGTTTGCAGTTTCCGACACGTAGCCAACTTTGCAAGTGGTCAAGCCGTCTCAGCATGAAAGCCTAGGCTGCGCAGCGCTGTGGCATTTGCATCCTCGAGCCGTCTCGTCCAGCAGACACTAGGACAATCAAAGGGCACAGGAATCTCGAGAGGGGATAGAAGTTTCGCACACGGTGTTGCGTCTTCAAGCCTTCCTCGCCTGCTGCAGCCGCAAGTGTTTGCTCAGGATGATCCTGGAGTTGCACCACCCGAGACTCGACCTCGCGCACCCCATCGTGCTCTGCTCTCAGTGGTGGAATGCCCCGCTTTCAACTTTTCATCGAGTGGGGCAGTTGATAGGGGATCTTTGCATGCAGATCGTAACCTGAGAGCCTCCAGGTCAATCGCTCGGGAAGTGGCAGCCTTGTGCGCCCGCACTGTGCCAGAATGTGCGGAGGTCGAAGCGGTGCTCCAGTGTCTTGGCAGATTTAAAGCTGCGGTTGAGTCGCCCTTGTGTGGTCGTTCCACCCCCGATGCAAGGAGAGCGATCCTAGCCATCGAGATGAATATTTTCACAGGTGAGTGTCTGGGCCGCACCGGAATAGCGGCTCAGGGCCTCCCCTGAACGTGTATGCAATACTTTGAGCTGATCAAGACAAAGGAGCTGCTTCCTCACCATCAGCCGGCTGAACCACAGCAACTGGGACATCTTAATGAGGGCTCCCGGATAGTTTCTCAGTTCTTTTCGACCGCTGCGCTTGAGACATGAAGAATTGTCAAGCCGCATGTGAGCTTAACACTTACGCTTAAGTGTGGCTGGCCTTTCGTATGCCGGGCCCTCACACACATTTCTTGACAAGGTTGCTTTCCGAACGTCGTATTCGTCAGTGGCAAAAGGCCTGCCAACGCGGGGAATAGAGATGATCATGAAAGCATGTTCTTGCATGTTGGGGCAAACCTTGGCCTTGTCCGCCTTGGGTTGTAGGTGGAAAGTCTGTTGTGTGTGCTGCTATCACGTAGAGGCATTTCCGGTCACTGAAGCCAATTCAGGCCGGGCAAGAGTGGCTTAGCTGCACAGGAGATTGGTCTTGGGAAATTGCACTGGTCAGTGGGGTGCTTGTGTTCGTTCTCATCTCCAGTTCGCAGGTTGTCCTCGTGTTGCAAATGCTGCTTTTCTGCTGCCACATGTCGGCCAGTGTTAGGCTTCTTCACAGCTATCTGGGGCGTGAGCTGCTTGGCTTGTCTTGATCGGTACTGGATCATGGAATCACAAGTTTACATCTCGTTGGTTTGAGTCAAAGTTGTTGTAAGGCATGCAGATGTTGGATGGGTGAAGAACTCGTGATAAGGATGATGCGCATCTATAGTGCTTAACAGCTAGCACTTTCAGTGACAACGATAGTCTTGTTGCACCAGGAAGAGCTCTCGGTGCTTTCCGAACGACTGCACATGCGTTGTTTGACTCATGTTCCCCTAAGACGTGGCTCGTGTTTCAGATAATCGTTGTGCTGTGGGTTTGGTACAAGGCTTCTCCTGCCCATTGAGCTTCGTCGCCGCCATCTCTGGCGGTCAAAATGCTTTCAGTGCGACTGTGAGCGCTGTGCGGCGGAGGAGCTCTTTGTGGCAAGCATGTGTAGTGGCAGGAAAGTGGTGGGGAGGTTGGTTGGGGAGCAGCTGAGCCCCAGGATGATCCACTTCGCGCAATTGCCTGCAAACGCTGCGCAGAGCAGGGGCAGCGATGGGAGGCAGACCTCATGCAGCTTTTGTACCATGCCGGTTTCGTTGCAATATCAGCACTTTGTCAGATGCCAACTCTAATCGCGCTGTTGGCTACTACTGTCGATGACGAATGCATCCTATGCCACAGGCAACAGGGCGAGCAAGACCTTTCGGATCGTCGTCGTTTCAGGTCTTTGTGCTTGTGTGATTTCTGTATATATATATATATATATGAGTCCTCTAAATTGTTTCTTTGATGTGGCTTCGCTTCTGAAAACAGCACGGACTCACTCCACGAGCCACGAGGATGATGGTTTCACACACCTGTGACACTTTGTCTAATTGTCGGATAATCAGACAGAGCATTGGGCTCACAACCTGCGGATGCGAGCAGCAAGAGTCATTCACGAATCTTCTACACAGGCACCGCAGGAGAACATGTGTTGTGCTGTCTCCGATAATGGTTACAAGAATTGCACAGTTGTCGTATCGACTGTTTTGACAATCAAACAGTTGTCGCAACAATTGCCGCAAGTCCTAAGCCCTAAGCAATTGACGAGTTGCCTGGGTGCGCCAGGCTAGCACCGGGGGTTCTGAAACCCCATAACGAGTCAAAGAAGAGTGGTGAGCAAACTAAGTGCGGGCAAGACGGAACACTGACGTCAATCAAGTCTAAGTGGCCTTCCGCATGCACTCCCAGGAATCTCTTTCCTGTGGGCGCTGAGTGGCAGAGACAACGCACTGTCGGAAGTGACCCCCAAAGCCGACGGCTCAATTTGACAACAGGTGCCTAAACGGGGGACACGCGATCATCGCCAAGCCAGCAGTAAGAAAAGTAACCGTTTCGCACAGAGTGGCGGCGTGACTAACATGCCGAACCGTTGTCGTCTTCCTGCTACCACGTGGAAAATTCACTGAGCCATCCTGCTTGGCGGAGGTTCTGCACTCGCCAGGGGTTTGGCTGCGAAGCTCCCCCAGTGTGGAGCCCCAGAGTGCCGTAGAGATCGTTTCTTGGAGAGCGCGACGTCATTGTGCTGTCGCCCTCCTGCTCGTGGCATCTCGTGGCCAGGCGTCGACTCTCTTCAGAGATGCTTTCTGAAGACGGGCACGCGGTTGAAGGCACCAGTGTAGGGCTCCTACGCACTGCCTTAAATCATAGAGTAGGCCCAGCCTGTGGGAGCCACTAGCGATGGACTGTACTATATTGGAGCGATATCATCTGGGCTATAGGAATATCGACACTATGGCCCTGTTCTGCGTCGGATTGAGCTTGTGAAACAGAAGACCCTTTGCAGCCGCTGCTTCACGTGCTCAGGAAAGGGTGTGGCGCGGAATCAATCGGGGTGTCTTCATGACTTGGTCATTGCGCAAGAACCGACTGTTTGGATTCAGAGAGACATCTGCGACTTGCAGCTCACCGCCTCCAAGCCTGTTGAGCACTGAATTGCGTCCTGTGCCCCTGCCAGACTGTTTTTCAGTGATACCGTGGCAGGCGCTTCCGCAGTCGGAGGAGGGGCCATCTGGCTGGATCCTCGTGGAGGCCTCTTCCTGCCCAACCTGGTGTGTCGCAATGCGAAGCGGATTTGCATGGGAGGCGTGGCCAGAACCGGGCTCTGAAGATGTCAAGGACATGGCGGGCAAGTCAGTGTTTATGACAGGCTTCTGCTTAAGTTCCTGGTTGATTTCCTGCATGAGATCGACAATCTGAAACCCCAGCCCGAGCCACAATTCGAGCATGCTTCTGGTTCGAGAGGACACCGGCTGGGTTCTCACCGACGGCCGGAACCTGGCACCTTCGATCAACCGCATGTCCGGCCCACGGCCGGCCATGGACATTGCCTGTAGCCCGCCCGCTACAGTACTGTAGCATGGCCTAAGCCCTGAGCTTCTCGATGCTTTTCCTCCAAAGCAGCCCTCCTGCTTGAGGGGAAACATAGACATGTCGCGTCGAATAAGGCTGTGTGTGCAGATCTCCGAGGATGGGCGGCAGGCTCCATGGAGGGGTATCGACCCACAAGTTGGGGTGTGACACAACTTATACATTATCGAGACCCCGGACGTAGGGACGTAGGGCACGTTTGCCCCGAAGTTTTCGGGGCAGACGGCCAGCGTAGCATGGCCGCCGCGAGCAGCGGCTTTGTGATGTGCCAAATGGCAGTCTCAAAAGTAGGCTTTGAAGGGTCGAGTCGGGAGATCGAACTCTGGAAATCTTAGTTTCGAAATGGGAATGCGAAGAGAGCAACTGCGCGTCCCGGATTTTTTTTATGGGTGCGTTTCAGTCACTGTGCTAAGCCGAGTCAGGAAGTGTCTGTTTGCTCGAAGCATTCCCATTTCGAAGCAAAGGACTCTAGAGTTCAACCTTCCGAATCGATTCTTCAAATGCCGAACTGCAGAACCACCTCGCAACTCCATACAATATTTGCTCTGACGAATGCCCAAATTCATCGCTCCTGCCAACATTTTGTCGGTTTTGGCTTACCATCGTCGTCATCGTGATTCTAACCTCGGTCCTGGACATCATCATCCCCCCACTCCCAAAACAACAACGGACCGTCTAGATCACCGACGTTGTCTGACATCTTGATATGGCAAGGCCAGTGATGGTTTCGACGGAGCGGCAGTCCCATGGAGCCTTGGTTAAACTAACCCGCAACGTCATTAACCGCTGGGTGGACATCTACTCTTGTCGCAGTCCCGTGCCTGAGTCCATCAGTGGGTTACCTGCATCGAGGAGTCCTGGGAGGGCTTTCTGGGACCTGGCGTCTCTCATGTTCCTCGGAAGCTTTGATTCTAGGCCTGTCGCAGGGGGTTTCTGGCGCATTGCCTTCTCCGAGGCTGCTGCCCGCAGACGAGCAGAATCCGGTGTCTCCGGAAGAGGAAGACGAGGAGGAGCGCTCCTTTCTCTAAACGAGGCTTCCCTTGAACTGCATAGCTTGAAAGGATGCAGTGGCCCGCAATGCTCTCGACGGGATGCCGCGCCCGAGCCTTGGCCCTTGGCCGGCCTTGGCCGGCCTTGGCCGGAGGTCGTCGAGCGTCAGCATTGCCGCCGCATCCCTTCCCGCCAGGAGGGCTGGAGCTTCCCGCGGCAGCCTTCGAAAGCCGGGCCTCCACGCGCCGCTTCTCCTTATGCCTAACAGCCTTGCGAAATCCTCGAGGCTCAGATGTGCCGTTGGCCGCTTTCGACGGCAAGAGCTGGACCGGCTGCAGCAGCCACGTCATGGCAAGCAGCCAGGTCAAGGTTCGGTAGGCACTGATGCACCGTTGGGCACAAAAAAATTTCTCCCACCACCACCACCACCGCCGCCACCACCACCAGCCGACGACTGCAGCAGCAGCTGCTCCGAGGAGTCCGACAGCACGACGACGATGATGCACGAGAAGACGCTTGTGCCGTCAGTGCCGCACTCACAATCCCGTTATAGTAGCCATCGTGATAGTGGCGTTGTTGTGGTGATCTTCTGGTGGTTGGGTTTTGAGCTAGAACATTGAGGCTGGCTGTCTCGTCGAGAGGTCTGGCTGGACAAACCCAGAGCACAATCAACTCATGCTCTGCCTGCTTCCTCCCGCTAGTGCCCGTGTGTGATAATCTATCAGATTAGGCTTGGTGCCAGCGTTTTCATCACGAAGAGAGTCCATCTTCCCGTCGTTGTGCTTGCTGGATTCCTGACCATACCCAGACAGGCGAGAGCCGTATCTTGCCTCCACACCGCTAGAATTTGCGGGATGCCGTTCTAGCCAACGGGCATGCGGTCGAGGCGCATGAATGGGGGAGCGATGTGTCAAAGCGTCCCCTGCAAGTAGACAGCACATGCAGGTCGCAGGTGTCCAGGTGGACAGGGATGTTTGAAAACGGTCGGCATTGCTGGAAGCAAAGGTCAGCCGTCTTGACACACAGCTACTGGTTTGTGGTGTGATGTCATTGCTTGTTGGATCTCAGTATCGGCCGACACTGCTGTTCTGCCACGCCTTACTGCTTCTGACGATCCTTGCGGTAGACATCGTTTCGCGGGCATTTGCCCGCTCCACACCCCAGGAGTACCCTGGCCCCGGTTCTTTTGACACTCCTGTCAGTGTCAGAGCTTTGTGGCAGAGATTCCTTGTGCTGTTGTGGCCCAATTCATGAGAAGCAAATCATTGGTTGAAACAGCTCTGCTGCCGAGCCGTTTCATTTCAGTGTTTTCATTGACGCCAAGCCTTGCAGCGTGTTGCAGAGTTGCAACGCGGCTTTGCAAGAGTGGTCCCATGGTCAGAGAAGCAAGCAAAGCCGAGAAGTCTACAAGCTGCTCATGCCGATGTCTGGACACAGTAAGGCGTAAGGCGTGCGAACTGAGTCTGAGTGAAACGCGGAGATAAACCAAATTGATGCGCATCTTCTTGCTTGCAGTTTGCAGGAGATGCCCGAAGTGTGGACGGCCGCCGAAGAACGAGGACCAGTTGCATAGGTCAGATGGGCACAATGCAAACGTTCCAAGATGTTGCAAGAACGTGTTTTTCTCCTCGGCGCCAGGAGGAGTTACAGTCTGTGGAGCCGCTGCTGGGAAGGCTCGCAGAGAAGACGTCGCTTGTCGATGGGATCGTCAGACGAGACTCAGACTGGGCTTCCCTTTCTCACCTTCGCTTCCTGTGACATTGTGCAAAATCAGTCGGCGATGACATGTCGACGCTGAAGCGCTGCTTGAGGTTCTTTTCTCCATCTATGACTCCGGCACTCGGTTCCGTGCAGGGTGGACTGCGAGGGTCGGGATCGACCCTAAAGATGGTATCTTGGTGGAAGAGGGCATGCGCAGCATGTGTCAGCATGTGTGTAGTGCTGTAGGTGAAGCGCAGCTTTGTGCGCCGTGCACTGGAGCTAGCGGCCACAGTGTCATTGGTGCTCGGTCCGCAGCACTGGACCGTCGCTTGCTTGCATCAGATCAATGATCAAGCTATCAATCTTTAGCTGCATCGGATGCTGCACTTGCACAGGCGTTTACAGCTTCCCAAACGAAAGGTACACTGGGCTCGGCTGCTGGTGGTCGACCTGTACATCTCAAAAATGAGTGCTTGCCTTGGGGCGTTTGCTGTGAAGCATATCTAGGCAGCACTACCGTCACTAGCATATCTAGCATCATGGCAGCATGACCATGTGCTTCCAATCTGCTACTGAGGCTACGCCCCGCTGGGTGCCCGGCGGGTTGAAATGGCTGCTGCACTCTTCTCTGGCCTGGAGGTAGAGACCCGTGTGGTGGCAGCAGTTTTCTCAGCTTACCCGGTAGGAGCTCTGGGAATGGCTTGCTTCCCTGTGGCTCGCCCACAACCCCAGCTGCTTCCTAGTTACCCGGATACTCGAAGCGCGGCTCGGCATCCAACGAAGTTCACAAACGCAGCATTTTTTGACTTACACAGCGCTTCGTACTGTACTGAGGCTGCGAGTGGCAGGCAACCTGAGAAAGCAGAGTGGTCCTGCTTGATGCTCGTGATTTCTTTTGCAAAGCACCAACATTCTGCACTTTGCGAGGGGCTGGCTCGGCTTTTCTTCTTCCTCCAGAGATCCAGACCAAAGCAAGGAGGCTCCCCGGCATGCACTGTGGTGAACTCATCCTCAGAGATGCCCCCGTACCCTGAGTCGGCTCAAGGTTACAAAGCCTCGTGGACAACTGCGAGAAGCAGGCCGATCATTTCTCAGAATCGGCAAGGTCGAAGCTTCTTACAGGGACTATCGATGCGATTACTTGGGTGTCGCAAAGAATTTCTCGCCGAACGCTCGGCAAGCATCCTGATGAAAGCCGGGGAAGTACGGTTGCACAGGCAAGCGTGTTCGTGCCTTGCAACTTCGTGCAGTGTTGTGTTGCCCACTCCTGATGCAGCTGTTACTGTAATCAGGTTCTTGTCAGCGTGATTTGCTGCTCCTGCTGCTTCTGACTCCCGGAAGGTTGACATTCTCCCCCTACGGCCATTGATCATTGATGGCAGCAACTTCCTGGCAAGGGTAGACCGGAAGTAGTCTGAGTGTGTCTAGCAGAGCTTGGAGGGAAGCAGCTCATGCGTGCATGTACATCGCTCTTTCAGCCTTTCAGCCACCGCTGACCAGGTATCTCCTTCCAGTGACCGCCACCGTTTCACGCACTTGCACAGCGCGTAGCTCCTCGCAGCCGACTGCTGCGCTGGCAGCTGGCCAAAGACATGCCGTCAGCCTGCCAGTCAAAAAGGGGGCTCGAAAGCCTTGCATGTCGCCTGGTAGGTCAGACAGGATGTAAGAAGGTTGGACGGGGCCCGGGCCCCTTCTTTCAACGAGGCTCAATGCGCAAATTGCTGGATTGCAACTCCGAAAACCCAAACATGTGCTGTTCGATGTGCACGAGTCAAGGCTGTGTGGCCCAATCCGACAGCCAAGACCATGATACAGATACAGGCCGCAGAGATGGCTTTCCAGACCAGCTTTCGGATCGTCTCGACATCTTCAGAAAGCAAATCCTCCCAGACCTATCCGGAGCAAGACCTCAGCCGCAGCGTTTAGCACCCTCCAGCGTCTCGATGTCTCTCGATAGAATCCATGACGAAGCGGCCGAAGACGGTCGTCACGGCGTCTGCAGTTGTGGTGCATGCCAAGCTGAGAGGCGTCTGAGGCAAGCCGGCGTGGAATGGAATGTTGTTCCAAAGATCATCAGCCCGCGTGGCTTCAACACAGCTAGCTGGACATAGCAGGTAATCCTCAACCAAAGGTCGTGATGCCGCCAAGCTCGGTGCGAGCCTCTGATGAAGATGCACATCGGCCTTAGCTGCTAGATCGAAACCTCACTGCACTTGCCAGCCCGGTTCTGAGGACTGGGACACCAATCCGGAGTTGGAAAGTGCTGTGTGGCAGGCCCACAGCCCACAGATCCGCCTCTGACTCGTCTTTGTTGAGAGTGCATTGCGAGGCTTCACAGAGACTTTCGCCGGCGGTCTGCCTGCCGATGTTACTGGTTGTTGATGATCGGATTCAGATCTTGAGGTGCAGCATTTTACTTGTAGCAGATTGGGAGAAGACATAGCTCAAACAGCACGACCGTGGATCGTCACTGTACTTCCGTTACAGAGCAGTGCAATCGTGCGTGTTATCTTGCTGTGCAGATGGCCAAGAAGATGTACGGGTTCATGAAGCGGACATGGAGCACCGCCGGGCTCCCAATGCGATTGTGACTCTGGACGGGGCGAAAGCTCTTGGGGTCAAGCAAGGCGCTTGCGGAGCTGCGGAGGGACGACAAGGCCTGATACCGACCTGTGTACATTGAAGTCGACTGAAAGCTTCGTAGATTCCCAAGCCGGCATATTCTCTCCGTGAGGCACCTGATCGGCCCGAGGCCGGCGAGAAGATCCGGGGCTCGTGCTTGGATGCGCTTGGGTCGACAGCTTTCTGGCATTGTCAGACAGGGTGTGCCAGTGCCGCCAGTGCCAGGATCGTCGCACCCACTTCGTCAGGGCGCGGCAGCAAGACTAACCCTAGAAGATGGCAAGATACGGCAAGGGACGGGCTATCACAGGATGACTCATTCTTCGTGTCAGTCAGTCTGCTTTCGGAGCTGCTGCGATGCTTTTTCGTAGCATCTTGCACTGCGTGCTCTGTGCTTGTACAAGGCCTTGCTGTGGCCATGTTGCCTGAAGGCCTGGATTTCCGACACTCTTTGGAGACTGTATCAAGCCGGTGAGAGCCCCTTCCTTAATTCATTTCTGCCACGAGCTTGCTGTTCTAGTGGCCATAGCCTCACAGTGGTCAGCCGAGACTGGTCTGCGGAGCCTGCTAGCATGGGGATCGACACCGCAGAGGCAGGGAAGTGACTAGGCAGTGACTTCTCAAAGCCGATTGCCGTGTGTCAGGCACAGGACGTCTTCAGTAGAGCCGGGAGGCTAAGCATGCCAGATTAGTATGATCATCTATATTCACGCAAAAGCACAAGGCCTCGGGAAGGGCCCAATCTTGTGATGCCGCCTCTTCTTTTTCACGCGAAAGTCTGTGCCGAACGACCCGGAGTCCGAGGTGCTTTCAAGGCCTCGTGTGCTCCCCGACGAGGCACGAAGCTAGCATGATGAAAGATGAAGGCGTGGATGTGAAGGGTAGAGCGGAGTTCGGACAGGCAGGGGGACGCTTGCCCGTTCCCTCGCGGCAGTGGCACGTCAGGGCGCCTGAAAAGATTCACAGAGCATCAGACATGAGATTTTTGTATGTTTTTGTGTTGGGACCGCGTGCGGCCTACGCCGCCGCCTCCTTTGTCTGTCCGAGGTGGTGACCCAGGCCGTGGAGGAGCGCAGAGAGAGAGAGAGAGAGACTTTGTTGGGAGATCGGGGGGAATGGGGGGGTGGGTGTGTGTGGGTCGACAGCTGCGCTGAAGAAGAGTGCGCCCGCGCCTGTGGGGCGACTGGTGAAACCACTACGACTGCTGCCACACCAGCAGAATGAGGCAAACCCACGAAGGGGCATCTCACTTCCCTCAGCAACATCGATTGCTCTGAAGAAGAAGTGCAGTAATTAACGTGAAGAAGCCTTCAATCGCGAAGCCATGTCTAGTCTACCCTGGCGAAAGAGGACTGCTTCTAGACGCCAAGAAGCAAAAAGAGAGCGAGACGGGGAAAGAGCCACGCGCGCGCGAGGACACCTTCGAGGAGCTCTCGGAGGCAAATCCGCGTCTGCCGATGTCTGCCGCCGGACTTCGGCGGGACTTCCCCGGGCCCCACGCCTTCTTTTTTTTGACGAGGCCCGCGTTGCGGACACGGCCGAGAGGAAGAAGAAGCGAGACTTGGAGCATTTGGACTCTTAGGCCCTCTTGGAGCACTGCGGGTTGTTTGCTTTTAGACCGTCGCTGGGCATGCTTGTCGGTGTTTCAATGAGATTCGGCTTTGATCCTAGGACCGGCAAAGCCGAAGCCTGCGAAAGGCTCGTGATCTTGTAATGATAAGTAATGTCGAGTTGCAGTTCAATGTCGAGCACTGCAGCTCGCAGTCCTACTTTCTCACAATGTGACACGGCCGTCCCGCTCAGCGGTGCTGTAAGCTCTCTCTGTCCGTTCCTTTGACTTAGGGCTGATCTTGCATTCCGAGGACTCTCGGACTCTCGCATTGGTAGTCTCGCACACATCGTACACTCGACTGCAGGCCAGGCTTCTCGGAGCCGTCTTGGGCTCAGCTTTCGGAAATTTCGAGGCAGCGAGGCAGGCAGACCGGGAGAGCTGAAGACGGGTGCGCATGAACTCGGCGGGTGCAGATCACCCCGGCCGCAAGCTGCATTCTGCCAATATTCTGCCCCACACTCAGATGCTGCTTCCTCGCACGATTCCTGGAATGCCAGGAGCCCAGGCTAAGGCGGTTTGCGTGTCCATTCGGAGCGCCGTCTTCTTTGCTCTTGTCCGCAGGCCGATATCCCTTTTTGGGCGAGGAAGTGTCCTGTCACAGACGGCGCTGAAATGCTGGTCGGCGACATCTGCTTGTTTACGTGCCAGCCGAGGATCCGGGACCGGGACAATGACACAGCTTATCGTTCCAACAGTTGGCAAGGAGCTGGAGTCAGAGCAACAGTTCCTTGTGTACAGGTTGTCATTCCCATAAGGTAAGCATGCCGGTGCCTGCACAGGAGACGATCAGAGCAAAGACTTCGATCGAGGAAAGGGCAAGGACCGAGGAAGAGAGAAAGGCAAGGAGAAAGGAAGAGAAAAGGGTAAGGAGAAAGGCAAGGGCAAGGGAAAGGGCAAAGACAAGGGCAGAGACGGGACGGCGGACAGGTGTCAAAGCCGTGGTCCCAGTGCTGTTCAACTTTGTGCAACTTAAAGAGTTGCAGCTGGCAAAGATGGCAAGCTAGAGATTTCATTTCAGTTGAAGAGGTGGCTCGATGCTCACTGATTGTTCCTTTCGGAATCGACTGTGCTGTGCGGCTTTGCTGCTCTTTGTGTTTTGTCGGCTGGTAAACCGTCAAAAGCTTCAACCTGGCGGTGCAGTCCGTTAGGTGACTCTCCTTTGAGGACGGGTTCCAGGCATCCACCGATGTTCTCGGAAGTTCCCGGTCCCACAAGTGCGAGCCTATGGAGGTCACGAACCATCGAGGAACGGCTTGGAGGCCTCAACGGCTTTCGAATCATAGCCGTCCTCCGTGCTGGCCCATTGGTCGCAGGGAAGCTGCCTACGCCACGTCGAAGCCGTTCCAGAGGAGCTCGAGACAGGAGCCGACGTTGGGAACCAAGGATTACATGACGTGGCGTTGATTCATGATCGAGTGCCGCGAGTTTGACGCAAGTACGGGCTCAGGCAGACCTGGCCGAAAGTTTGAGACAGGCTCGCGGCTCGGGTGTTCCCAAAATTGTCCCGCGCCTCAGCCTCAGCTTTCGGAGGCGCCGGGCGGCGAAGAGCATCCCGCAGCCGAAGGCGTCGTGCCGGAGGCGCCAGCCGCAACTCTGATTCTCTGTGCACATCCTGAACCTGCCCGTGGCAGTTTCAGGCCGGCGACGACGGTCCGTGATAAGGCGCCCGGTCAACACTTCAGCTTGGGCTTTCTGTATAATCCTTCAACTTCGCAGAGAATTGCCATGCCGCAAAGGCACAGACGTCCGCGCTCAGCCGGTCGAACAGCCCGGGAAGGTCAGGCATACTTTTACTGTCTTTTCTGGCACCTCCATTCAACTCCGCAATCGAGGGCTTTTGTGTCTTTTTTGTGTCTTTTTGTATTATTTTGTGTCTTTTGCGAGCAAAGACCCTAAAAAGCGGTGGGCACCGTTCAGATGCTCGGCGGGCCAGAACTGAGACTCGCCGGAGCCGAAGCGCGAAGCGAGGCCGGAGGGCCCTCCTTGCCATTGGACGTGGCTGTCGCGAAGTTCTTTGCTTGTGATCGCCTGCGACAGGCCCAACGGGCCCACGATCTCCTTTCGGCCATGGCCTCGAGTTCGGTGAGCTGACAATCGGGGTGCTCTCGTGTTCAGTGCCCTGTCATCTGAGCTCGGCCTGGCTCTGTTCTGGAGGTGGATTGAGGTCTGTGTCACCAAAGATGTCACCGAAGATGTCACCGAAGGTTGCGAAGGAGGTTGGTTGGGCACTGTTCATGGCATTGGCGTGCCAGGCTCTTAAACTTTCGGAGCCACCGGAGCCAACTGCTCAGAGCAAGGCGAAGCCTGCCAAGGCACCGAATTCGAGTGCGGAGTCTCGCGTAATGGGCGAGTTTTTTCGTCTTCGCTAGACACGGAGCCTGGCTTCTGCCCCTCATGATTTTTGCAGGCACGCAGCTGCAGCGCCTCCAGCGATTCTTCCTATGCCAGTATGGAGACCAGGCGGCAGGGTCCGAGCGTCTCTGTTGTCAGCTACCGTACCACACATATTACCATGCATCAGCTGCAGTTGCCATTGCCATCTGAGAAAGGGGTGTTTGCGTGGCTTCTCCGCAACGAATGGACAAGTTTCGACGGGTCCCACACTTTCTGATAAGGTGCTACGTTTTCCTACACAGTTGTTAAAGCCGATGGGCTGCTTTCGTGTGCACGGGCGGGACCACACGCCGCCTTTTACGGAAGCATAGCTGAATTCGGCGCCTTGTCGTGCTGCTTGTGTGCGCAGTTGTAAATGAATTTTTGAAAGGAATGCGTGCAACGATCATCAGATCCGTTCTATGCACAAAGTAATTTGCCAATAGGTGGCAAAGGCACTGAAGACGTGTCCTGTGCTGTGAGGCCCAAACCATCTGCCGGAATCCCGGGCTTGGATCCAGCGGCCAATGGCATCCGAAGGAGCCAGTGGAACCGCCCTATCATGCCACTTTGCTCTGAGGCCAAGACAAAGGCAGAGAAAGAAGAGAAAGAGGAGGCGCAGGAAGTCGAGGAGAAGGAGAGGGAGGAGGAGAGCGAACGTGAGGTGGATCAGGGCTCGCCAATGTCTGAGGCGGAGCTGCTTATGGTTGCTTATGCGTTGTGCTTCCAAAACAAACAAGGCTCTTCCTTGATTAATCTCCAGTTTGCTGTGGCCCCCGGTGCAAAGTGACGGGTGCTTGAAGATGTCGCAGCACCGCCATTCTATTTTTTGAGTCTTTTGTAACCGGGGCAGTCCATTTATGCACACCGGCAGACTAGGGCCCAGGACTCGGCAACATCCTTGCCATTCCATGGGTCTGACGGCATCCATTGCCCTGTTGCTGGCTCGTTTCGTATCGTGCGCTGTTCGAGAGAAGCTCTTGAATCGCAAGATTCTGCAGAAGAGTCCAAGCCAAAGCTTGCATGGCCTGCGCCTGCATAGAAGCACAGCACGAGGGGTCCTGTGATGTCCTGTGTGCAGGCGAAGCTCCCCGAGCCCGAGGCAAAGTCCAAAGCCAAGGCTCGGCTTGAGAAGCGCGCAACGAAGGGACTTCTTTCCAAGCTCTCCCTGAGGGCTGCAGCAGCAGCGGGAGTGACTCCTCCGATGGCAGTGCGAGGCTGGGTTGGCCCTTTGGAGGGGATGCCCGTGCTTTCAGTTTGCTTCACTGCCCGTTGCGGAGTGGTGGGGTTGTGAGGCAAAGCTGGCATGTTGGCGGCCTTTGCATCTTGACACTCCTATGTCGGGCACATAAGATCAAGCAGTCGCAATTAAGACCAGCAGCCGCGACCGGAGCAGCAAGAGGAAGGAAGGAGGACGATTTCTCCCAAGCAAAGAAACATCGCTGATGACAGAAGCGCACGTTCACAGCATTGGTGGCCCATGACGGCAACGTTCTTGGCAACCTTTCGGGTCCATCGTGTTGACGATGGCATCCCCGCTGAAATTTTGTGTCACCCCGTTTCACGATAGCGAATAAGCAGCAACAGCATGGCTTTAACTGTATATGCACTGTCAAGTGTCAGGCAATCCTCACGCTGCAGTAGCGTTTGAGACCTGGCAGTATTTGCGGGTTCACGGCGCGGTCTCGAATGGGCCAGTGCTGCCAGGTTCGACAGTGTATGCAGTGTAGGCAGTTTTAATCTTGTGCGAGAACTTCGTTCACACTCTCTTGACAAATACATCCTGCAGTTCTTTCGTGGATGTCCTACACTGACACGGACCTATGTTATCCGGGATAACATAGGTCCCTGCATCATTTGATTGTGCTGGACCACCACCCCCACCCACCCCACCACCCTACCCACCCCACCCACCCCACACGCCACCACCCAGCAGCTAGCTGCCAGCGCAACCTACCACCGACGACGGCGATCACAACGCAAACAAGGAGAGCAGGAATGGCAGGAAGAAGAGAAAGAGCAATAGAGAGCACCCAGTGCACAAGCGGATTGTTGCATGGGGCTGCTGCTTTTTTTTGGGCAGGCCCCAGCGGACCAAGCGCCAAGGCAGCCAGGCCCGTGTCAGGGCCTGAGTTTTGGAGTGATTGCATCCCTTCTTCGACCTGTGGAGTCCAGGAGGCAACGAAGGACAAGAGCGAGCACGAGAAAAGTGAGGAAGAGCGGCAGGCCGCGGGGCCGAAAGGGCTGTCGACTCGTTCGGGCCAGGGTATTGGCTAGTTGTTAGGGCCAGTTAGGGCTCGAAGGCATCGAGCAGAGCATCTCCAGCAATCTATTGTGCTGACATGGAGGATGCTGTGGAAGACGGGGTCAAGGCGCGGGCTGTGCGTCGCAGTTGTAAAAGAATAGCCAGTGATTACTTTCTAAGCACTTCGAAGGTGGATTGCACAAAGCAAGCAACAGCCCCAAAGACGCCTGAACATGTCTGCACTGTACCCGTCCAACAAACAAAAAGATAGCGAGAGAGAGCGAGAACGCCCGGCGAAAGAAGGCGAGCGACGGAGAACAAACCTTGCTTGTGGTTCGGGGGGCAACAGCATCACGTGGAGAGCGAGAGAGAGAGAGAGAGAGAGAGAGTGCGTAGCCATTTTGGCTCAAGCCATTTTGGCTCAAGGTCGACCTGCCGCTCTCTCCTCGTGGGGGGGCGCTTGAGGACGGCCCTCTGAGACTGCTGGCTGTCCCCAGCAGCCTTGGAGGGTGGACGTTCCTTCAAGCGGAGGGAGGCTTGAGTCTCATACCTGCTGCCACTTTGCTTCAGAGGCCCCGTGGGGGGAAGGTCCCTGACCGTGCGCCATAACCGTGAAGGTAACGATCGAACATTACGACCTTGAGGGGGAATTCGTGACTGCAAGAGCTTTGTCCTCAGCACTTTTGCCGGGGAGAGCACGTTCCACTGCCCCCACGACTCCCCCTTGTTTGCCATTACGCTGATCACTCGCTACCCGGACGCTGGGTGGGGGAGACCTTCAACTACCAGGACATGATTTTGGCAGGAAGGACGAGATAGTGAAGATCGCCTATGGAGGGGATGGCGAAAGAATGCAAGCTTTGTAAGTTCGGGGATGGTATATGCACCACAGGTTTCCGCAAACAACACGAGCGTACAGACCCAAACTGCCGACTACATGGATAGGGGGAATAGCAGGCCTCGACAGTCGTCAAAAGCCGCATCGAGTACTCAGCCACCCCGCCCAGAGGGGGGAACTGCAACTTCCTCTTTGCGGCCGCTGTCGGAGATGACCCAGTTCCGGGCGAGGCAGGGGAACTTTATGTTGTTCGCGCCTCAGCCCATGGACAGCTGGATTGGGAAAGAGGTCCTTGAAGACCAGAGTGCTGGGGGATACAAAGATGCCGCTACAGGGAAACTACTCACCAAGAAGCAAGCCAAGTCGTGCATGGCCTTCTGCAAAAGGCACTCTCGACGCTGCCATGTGGGGGACAAGGTGGATAAGTACCTCCGTTTGGTAGACAAGTGCCAGCCAAGGGTGCTGGCTGAAGCACGCATCTACGTTGCACGGTTTTCAGAAGAGGTAAAGGACTTGCTCAAGCAGATCAAGAAAGTACAAGCAGATCAAGAAAGTCCGCAAGCAGATCCGAAAAAAACAGGGGAGAAGAAGACAGCCGAAGCTCAGCTCGGGGGAAGCTGCCACACCAGAGGCACCAACGCCAGCGCCGAGGACCGCGCATGCGACAAAGGGGAGCGATGCAGACGCAGTCAGTGAGAGAAGGGGGATCGTGGACGCTGATACGCCGCCTGACTGGGGGGATAGCTCCGGGGAAGCCGGTCGCCCCTCTGACCGGGGGGACAGCCCGAGCCACCTTGCACTTCGACCGAGTGAACCAAGTGATAGGCCGCCACCACAGGCCCACCAACTGGATAGTCACACTACAGAAAGGGGGCATGTCCACTTGGTTCCCAACGTACAGTGGTGGGGAGTGCAGCGGATACAAGAGCACATGGCAAAAACTCGAGCGGAACGTGATGCCTTTCGAAGCTGAAGAGGAAGCCTACTCCTGACGGGGGGATTTGTCCCTCTGCAAGTTTTGCCCAAGCTTGGTACCAGACGCCTGCTGGAAAAAGACAACTTCTGAGGGGGACTAGGTGTGAACTTTGTATCGGCTGTAGTGCCATCTCCGTTCCAACCCATGTATAGGGCCACTTCGCCCACAAATCTTAGTTTCTTTTCAACTCACTTGTAAGCCCAGTGAGAATTCGGGGGATGCCTGAGCCTCAATTCGATTTCTTTCCACCCATAGGCGAACCAAAACCTGCTCGATGAAGCGGGGGGGCAACGCACGTTTTTGGCCTCGCATTCCAATCCTTTGATAGAGTTCCCCGCCGACTCGGCCCTGGCCTTAGTTGTGTTGCAGTCTTTTGTTTGTGTTTACATTTATGTTGCCGCCGGTCGGGGGACTCCTTTTAGTGCCGTGTAACGCTTTGTGAAGCCGAGCCTGCTGGGGCGAAACCTCAGTGGGGGCCTTGAAAACCTGTGGACCACAGGTGCGCGTCCGCGCGCGAGGGGGTGGGTGCCCGCCTGCCTCCTCTGTCCTGCTAGAGAGAGAGAGAGACAGAGAGAGAGAGAGAGAGAGCACCTCAAGCCCCGGAGAACAGAACAGAACAGAACAGAACAGAACAGAACAGAACAGAACAGAACAGAACAGAACAGAACAGAGCAGA